ACTAAGCTTAGATAGAAGTAATAGTACAAATAATAACTACAAAAAGCTACTTTTACATGGCTGGATGTTGAAACAAGATTTTGTAGATACTTTTAGAATGAAATACCCAAACAAGAAAGAATTTACCTAGAGCAACAGAAAAGATAATATAAGAATTGACCAAATTTGGGTATTAAGTGTATTAAGCTATAGTCTAGAAGAGGCAATTATTAAGGATATAGATCTGGATACAAGTAGTGATCACAAATTAGTAATAGCAAAATTAGGAGTACATCTATGTACCCTCACCAAATTTGGATTTGTGTGATAATTGATGCCTAATTAGGATCATATGTTTAATCATCATTCATGAATTATTGTAACTAATTTCAAAAATCAATTTTAACATTATTATTATAGAATTAAACTTATACTACTCCAATATGCATATAGGAACTTTGCTACGAAAATGATCTTCAGAGATTCTCAAATTATCGAAGCTTTAAATTCTTTCTAAATTAAATGTTTACTTATAGAGCTTTTATATCATGATTACTATGTTTCATGAAATAATAACTCCGAAGATATTATTATATTTATTTTATATCTGGTTAGTTACTATACTATATAAAAAGATATTTAATCGAAAGAGATATTATCTAAATGGTACTAGAATTGAATATTATCACTATATAGTATTTAAAGTAGCTTTTTATTAATTAAAAATACCTGAATAATTAACAACTCTATTATGTATTCTGCTTTATAAAACAAAGTAAACTGCTAATTTTAAATAAGCAAATAGAAATTATACTTAAGTTTATTTAAATAATAAAGTATATTTTGAAAATGACTATTGCTTGTTATTTCAGTTTATTTTTTTATCAGTTAACTCGAATTTTATGAAGTTTAACAATTGAACTAATTTATTTTGTTGTAATTTGAGTGATGCTACACATAAGCACAAAATTAAGTGAAATGATACTATTAATACTGAATTGTCATACTGCTAAATCTTTACAAAATCTTGACAATTTTAGACTCTTAACTACGAACTAAATAGTTTTATTATCTTTGAATTACTTAATTAGTACAAAGTATGCAAATTTGTGATATACTGAAATATTAGGCAATAGATTTAATTAGAATTAGCAGATTATAAGTTAATAATTAATATTCTCGTGTACATATCAATAATTGCAGATTGATTATTGCGAAACATAAATAATATGATTTCATTTGACAAATTAAATTTGCTAAACTAAATAATACTAGTAAGTATTATTAATTATACTCGTAACCTGTTCAAAGTTAGAAAGTATTCTAGTCAAAGAAAGAAATGTTAATAAAAAACTCTGCATAGAAAAACAATGACAAAAAATGTAACAAACCTTAGTGAATGAAAATTATCGTGTATTTATATATAACATAACAAAACCCCAAATTGTCAAAGAATATCGCACACTTACATACAACATAACAAACCCTGAATTGTCAAAAAATATTATACATTTAATGTAATATAACAAACCTTATTGAAAGAAAAATGTCATAAAGAATATTACGCATTTATTTGTAATATAACAAACCCTATTAAAAAGAGTTGTCATAAAGAATATCACGGTTTACATATAATATAACAAATCCATTGAAAGAGAATTGCTATAAAGAATATCATACGTTTGTATATAACTCATTAAAAACAAACTAGAATAAAGTATCACGCTTTTGCATATAACAATAATAAAAAAATTATCAGCAAATATCACACATTTTATCTGATTTAAAGAAAATAAAAGAGAGAAACTAGTATTAAATTATATCAAATTAAAAATACCAAATAAAAACTTATCACATAATTGCTTCAAATCGTATGTGCTGTAAAAAAAAACAAAATTATTAGTTTGTATTTTGAATATATGTACTGAAAAATATATATAAAAACATTTTACTTTGACAACTTGTCATTTGTATAAGATTTTTGAGTTAAATATTCTAACAAATTATATTATCTAAAAATTATTGTCTATCATTTATATAAATCTAAAACTAAAAAATTATTAGTTATCATTATAAAAAAAAAAAAAAAAAATATGTCTTATAGTTCAAATAATAATTTACTCAGATCTAATAAACCCAAATTGCAAAAAGTAAATGCGGATGACTAAAGTGCATTCACTAATTTAGCTATAACAGATTTAATTAATAATGTTGTTGAGCATGCTAACAGACAGTCTTCTTGAATGCCTTCATTAATCAATAATTCTAGACCTGAATTGCAGGACAATTCTGGTTCTAGATCACAAAATCTTGAAATATTTTTAAACAATAATCTTGGATCTGAATTGCAAGAAAATTTTGGTTCTAAACTGCATAAACTTGAATATACATCTGCTGTTCAAGAATTAGAGCCCAATTTGCAAGAAACTGATATAGAATTTTTAGATGAGCTTGAACCAGAATTAGAAATACTAGCAGAACCCGAATTGCAAGAATCAAATATGAACAAATATGTTAAGATTTATACTCACTTTGAAATAGAAACATACAAAGATTAGATTAAAAATATTCTTCCAACTATCGCAGGTGCCAACTATATTTATAAAGATAATCAGGTGACCTCAGAATATAAGCTAAATGAAAAGTATGTTTGTTACTATTATAGAAAGGCAAGATTAATAGCTAGCACAATGAAGAGAGTTACCAAACCTTTGTCTAATCATAGC